TATAAGGGTGCCCAAGAATCTACAAGGAATAAAGCTCAACTTGAAAAGGTCTTAATCTTTAACTGGCACTTCTACCTGCCATAAACTAGAATTAGTAAATCCAGAGTCCTAAACTAAGCTGGGCTCTGCTACAATGATCAGGATAGGCCGCCTAGGAAATATAGCTACTTAGCTGTAAAAGGCCAGTCGATCCAAAGAAATGTTTTTATTTATTTGAGTAATAGGATTCTGGTTAAGGTACCTCCTGATTTTGCTTCACATTGGGGATGTCAACTTTTCAAATGGCTGCATAACTGCACCTTTAAGGATTGTCTGAACTGCAGATATAAATAGTATAACCACCACTAAACTGCTGATTCATGATGATCAGATGGTGATTAAAAGCATAAGAGCAAGAATCAAGCTGGAGAATTTGAAAAAAAGCACAAAAGGATAATAGGCAAATGACATCCATAGTTCAACAGATATTGCTGAATTGTAACATCATAACTAGGTTTAGCCTCAATCAACATTGCTCAAGTTCGCTGGGCAGGTCATGGTTTGTGCCTGGATGGAAGACCACCAGGAAATTCTTCAAAATAATAATAATAATAATAAAAAAATCCACAAAGAACGACACTGCTAACTTGTGCTTTAACATAACCAGCAGGGCAGCTCTAAGTTTTCCCAAACGTCCCTCCATTTGGTCCCATTCTAGAAAAAAAAAAATGTTTTTGATTTTCTTGCTTCAAGTTCTTTAAGAATATCGGGGGAATCTTCTCCGTGGGCAACCCTGTGTGTAAGAAAGGTGATAAAAAAACTCCCCGTGAAAACGAGACTGTCCGATGTGTCCAAATATAAAAAATATGGACAGAAAAATAAGAACATGAATGGGAAGCAGCAAAACATTTAAAATACAACCAGAAAAAATCCATCTCATTTATTACCTGACTGAAGAGGATCTGATGCTTCTGAATGGATGCAGAGGTCACCACCAAGAGGATATTCAGAAACAGGAAGCATCTTGGCTTCTTGATTAAATATTTGCAGGCTGGCTGTCTTTGTTATTTCGGAGCGCAGCTACATTCACTACTGTTTTTTGGACTCAAATGAAAGACCAGCTAGTTTTTAGCAGAGATTGATAGTTACTTTGCCCAGTGCACCGGTATCCTCACTGGTCACCCAGTTCCCCGCATCTAATCAGAGAACGATTTCAGGAATGACTCTCTTCTTAACCACCAATTTTAACTGGTCAAGCTCTTATGCCCTCAAGTTTAAATAAGAGATGTGTATTTAGGAAGAATAGGATATTTCTAGCGTATTTAGGCTTCCCAGCATGGGGTTAATTGATCAGACACTGTAGGGGGTGCTATTGAGCCATATTCAAATCCAGTTGAGAGGGTTGCAGATGAAGCTTTTAGATAGGCAGAAATTCAACAGGCAAAGCTAATTTCTCAGAAACCTCTCCATGCAAGGAAAGGCTTCAGTTGCTGAGTGATGTATGAAGCATATAATGCAAATTTTTGCCTACTATAAAAGAAAAATGTTCATTGTTATCAATCACCCCATTGTCTAGGAAGTTAGGTTTTATGCTGGTTAATTTCATGTTTAAATGCTGCTGTTGTAGCGACCTGTGAGCAGGAGAAGGAAAAGAGGATACCTTGGATTGCGAGAAGGATCCCAAAAGTATAAGAGGTAAGTGAGTTACAAAAAGCAAACTATGGACTGTAGGAAGCTTCTATAGTTAGCCTGCTGAAATCTGAAATCAGTGCTGCTAAGACATTGTTGGCTACTTGTAGGACCAGGAAGACTTAGACTTCAAGGTCCTGGTGGAAAGGCAGGATCTAAATCTGCAAAAATAAATAAATGTGGGCACTACCAAGGAGAGGAACGTTCTCCAATGCTAGGTCAAAATGCCTTCCACCATTCTGAGTCAAAAGAAAGTTAAATTGGCTTGAAATGTGAAGCCCCCATTGCCGATCTTTCTCCTCTGTTCCCAGTCACTAGCTAGGTCTAACAGATTGGATCCACTATCAATAGTAAAGGAACAATCAGTCAAGAAATATGCCGCAGACTAGCACTTGGTAGAGCAGCCATGAAGGCTTTGGAAATGATATTCAGAGGCCATGATATGTCCAGCCCTACAAAGATCAGAATCATGCAGTCTGTGTTACTCCCTGTGACACTCTATGGAAGTGAAAGTTGGACTTTGAGGAAGCAAGATAGGAAGAGTGTTGACGCTTTCGAATGTTGGTGTTGGAGAAGACTCCTGAGATCACTGTGGACTGCAAAGAAGGCCAACAAATGGATCACTGAACAAATCAACTCAGAGTTCTCAGTCAAGGCACAAATGACCAGATTCAAATGATCATATTCTGGATATATTATGCAAAGGCCTAGCTCTCTGGAGAAGGCTCGCATACTGGGAAAGGTGGAAGGAAAAATAAGAGGATACCATCATTGGAAGACCTGAAGGACCAAGTTGGGGCCAGATCATCCTGGAGAAGGTCTATCTATGTGGTTGTTAAGAGTCGACAACCATAATCTATCAGTTAATGGTTGTCCTTGGATGGTGTTGAAAAAAGGAGAAAAATACTATAAACTAGTATAGCCATGTTTCTCAACCTTGGCGGCTTGAAGATGTGTGGACTTCAACTCCCATAATTCTCCAACCAGCCATGCTGGTTGGAGAATTCTGGGAGTTGAAGTCCACACATCTTCAAGCCGCCAAGGTTGAGAAACACTGAGTTAAGGACTTCAGCCTGAAGGTGTCCAGTGGCCAGGACATACAAAGGGCTGCAGCTAATTTTCCACGGCACAGTTGGCTAAACTGTCGTTTGTTAGGGAGTTGTGCAAGGACAGTCTTTGGCTTGGTTTCCACACTGTGCTATGCACAGTTGGCTTAACTGTGCTTTGCACACGCACCAGAATTGGCAGGCGTTGGCTGTGCAAAGTGCTAAACCACAAACCACGGGTTCAGTCAGCCCATTACAAAGCCCTGTTTTGCCTCAGAGCCGTACGTGAGGTAGGCTGCTAAGAGCTGGTCGTCCGCAAAATACTCCAACTTGTTCATTGCTTAGGTTTTAAGGAAGCACACGTTCTGGGGATTCGCAGAAAACATTAAACTTGGGCAAAATGGGTGGATAGGCTGCAGTTTTAACATATTGGGTGAACCAGGCCATTATTACCTTAAGCCACGTTACAGTTAACTGCTGACGCAGCTGTACCGGCGCGGCACTGTCGCTGGCTATAGCGGGATGCTACGTTTGATATTATCATTCACACGCATCACAGTTTAATGGAGGAGGAGGACTCCTGGGCGCCTCCCCAGTTCCCTCGTAAGAGCCTGGGATCTCCCGGGTTAAAGCCACGAGTCGCGCGTCCTTCCCTTCCCTTCCCTTCCCCTGCGTTTTCGCGGGTTTGAAGCGCAACGGGTTAAGCTTGGAGACGGCGGGCGACGCCCCGCTTCGCCACCGCTCAGAGGAGGGAGGCCAAATTCCGTTCGTCGGCGAGGTGGCCGGGGGCGGCGCCGCAACCCGCTCTGCTTCCTGCTCCGCTTTCGCTTCTTTCGAGGTCGGCGGCGGGTTCGGCGGA